ACCAATATATACTTTCTGACATTCAGACTTTTTATACATGACTAAACCTATACATTCACTTCACTGAAAATATTAAGGAACTCCATAAGATCAGACTACCTTTAAGATAGATTACATTCTTATCCCCTCTCTTTTTGGGAGAGGGACTTTCAAGTCAAATCTTGATTCCTGATAATTGCCTGGAGTAGCACCTGCAGTTCTTAGTACAAATATTCAAAATTTTAATGTTGAATAATTTTTACTAACAGTTTCACTGTTTCAGCTTGTGATCATGAGTTGCCTGGGAAGAGGTAAGAGGTTACTATGAGGAAGAAGGGATATTCAATATCAAGCTTCTGTTTGTCCTGAATATTTAATAGGTTACTGTAGGAGATGACCAGAATGAGCCCGAGGGAGGAATCAAACATGTCATCAGTCTCGAGTCCTTTCATGCCCACAAGAGATCTAAGTCCAGCCCACCCTGACTTCTGCTTTGACTGTTAGTAGTCAGATTCTTATAGAAAACATTAGCATAAAGCTATAGAAAATGTTAGATCGCGCAGGCAGTAAGACACGAGTCGAGTGACAGTCAGCTCTTGGTTTATTGGCAAGGCATACAGTAAATCCGGACTGGCATCTGGGCCAGGGGAGCCCTCTTTTATGGGATTCCCCTGGCTTGTAATCACACAATTCCATTGGCTGGTAAGACCCCGTTGCTAGTTAGCCAACCAGCAACGGGCATGAAACTGTATGCAGATGGAGAAGGGTAATCACCCTTAATGGGTGATCAATGGAGAAGGGCAATCACCCTTAATGGGTGATCAGGATGCGCATAGGGAATTAAGGGGGGAGAATACAAAAGAACACAACACCCCTCCCCTCAAAGTTCTTGCTATCGTCCTTGATGAATAGTGGTTACATAGTCCTTCAGATATGTGGGAGGCCGATGCCCTTGCGTTGATCAGCGGGGAACTGTGTGACTCGGTTCAGCTCTTGCCTCGGTACTCTTCCCTCTGCGTGGTTGTCCTTGGGCCGCTGCAATGGGTCTCGCTTCTCGAGGTGGTTGACTGACGGGTGGAACCAATGGCCAATACTCGTCCCCGCTGTTGTCTCTGGCCCCGCCCGTGTTGTCGGCCACGCTTTCTTGGCGTAACCCAGCGACCCCGATTCGGCCCCTC